GAGGCTTAAGGAATTGGGCCCTAAAGTGCTGGGCTTCACCTCCAAAATCAGGGGCAGACCCCCTAGGTTTGCAAGTCTTTATTTTTTATTTATGTTCTATTTTCTTTCTAATTGTTGTTTTATTTAATTAATTAATTATTTCCATAAAAACACAAAAACCATAAAAATCAGAAAAAGAGAAAAAAAACAATAAATATTTTATTTCTAGTATTTTCATAAATAATTGTATATAATTATTTAGTTTTAAATTAGGTTATAATTTTAATTCTTTTCATAATAAAATCTAAAAAACATAGAATTAGGTTTAATTAATAATTTTTCATCCTTTTTATTTTTCTTTCATAAATAATATTATTTATTTTATTTATTTTTATAATTAAATTGCATATAAAAATTAGAGTTAAATTAGGTTAAAATTTAATATTTTCTTAATAAATTAAAAGCCACTAGAATTAGGGTTTGCATCTTATTTTAATTTTAATTAATTCTTTTTTATGTAAATCTTAAAATACTAAAAAACACCAAAAAACAAATTCTTTCTTTCTTTTGATTTTAATTAATTCCTCATTATTTTAACTTTGCAAAAAGGGTCCAACGCCCTCGTTTCGATTTAATTATTAATTCGCATATTATTTTATTCCGTTTAAATATTCATGTATCTCTCCCGAAGCCATGTATTTAATTACTCGCACTTTTAATTCTTTATTTACTTTGTTTATTTATTTTCTGTCAAATCGGGTTCGAGAAACTTTTGGCGATGTGGACCCGCGCCTTTTGTAATAGCTTAGAATTTACTTTTTCCGCAATATTTTTAACTGTTAACGAATGGCATGAAAGAATGTATGGACAAAAAAATAAAAACAAGCGTAGAACACCAATAACATGACAAGATAAATGCAAATGAAAACGACACACAAATCACACACCACCCCTAGGGTACGCCTCACTGTTGCCTTGCCTCGAAAGGTGATCGTCGAGTAGAGGATGTCTTAGTAAGTCCTCATGATCCGGGAACCTGGCATGAGGGTAGCTTCTAAGGTGTCTTCCTATTGCTCTGGTGATCACCATGTCCCGAACCTTCGAATTGACCCGAACACCTCCAACGGTGGTGCTACCTACCTCTCAATGGTGGGATGGCACTACTTTAAAGGACATTTACACAGACGAATTCCTTAGGGTAGGTAGACGACTCTAGATACTTGCTCTAAATTTCAAAACAAATCAAAAATACTTTTCACACCGACACCTTTTCAAAAAGCTTTCGAAAGCATTTTTTCAAACACTCTTGAGGACCGATACAAGAGTCGAACTGAAATTTTCAAAGAAACTTTTTAAAACCCACAGTTGAAAAGCAAACAAACCATTTTTGAAAACACAAGTGAGCAAGTATCTAAGAGCCCATGGATAACCATGGATAGAAAGGGTGCTAACACCTTCCCTTTCTATAACCTACCTCCCGAACCGAGAGAAATCTCTATAAGGAATTTTTCTGTGCTTTTGTCCTTTCCATTTGGAGAAAATAAAAGACGGTGGCGACTCTTGCTTCCGCGACATTTCGCGAACCAACGTTAAACAGTCAGTTCCAGATCCACCGATCACAACATGCTCTTCATCTCCAGCGATAGTCTGAGATTCAGCTTCCCAATACTCCCTAGCATTCTGTCAGGGATTTCTTTTCCTAGACAAGGATACACTTCAATAAACATTTCACATTCATACATCATAACAGACATATGACAAATACATATAACATAGTCTCATTTATTTTTGTGAACATCATTACGCCATGCATACATCTGCATGCAACTAATCCTCTTCCTTGCAGGAAAAGTCAATCAACAAAACAAAAGACCTCTTCTGGTTAGATTTATTTCTCCTATATTAAAGATAAGAAAACGAAGACCTCTTCTGGTTAGATTTATTTCTTTCAGATTAAAGACAGGCAGACAAATACCTCTCCTGGTTAGATTTATTTCTTCTAGATTAAAGACAGGAAAACAAAGACCTCTTTTGGTTAGATTTATTTCTTCCAGATAAAAGACAGGAAAACAAAGACCTTTTCTGGTTAGATTTATTTCTTCCAGATTAAAGACAGGCGAACAAAGACCTCTTCTGGTTAGATTTATTTCTTCCGGATTAAAGACAGACGAACAAAGACCTCTTCCAGTTAGATTTATTTCTTCCGAATTAAAGTCAGGCGAACAAAGACCTCTTTTGGTTAGACTTATTTCTTCCAGATTAAAGACAGGCGAGCAAAGACCTCTTCTGGTTAGATTTGTTTCTTCCAGATTAAAGACAGGCAAACAAAGACCTTTTATGGTTAGATTTGTTTCTTCCAGATTAAAGACAGACGAACGAAAATCTCTTATGGTTAGAATTGTTTCTTCCAGTTAATGACAGGAGATCAACATACCTCTTCTGGTTGGATTTACTTCTTCCAGTTAATGATAGGCAAACAAACAGACCTCTTCTGGTTAGAATTATTTCTTCCAGTTAATGACAAGTATTCAATAGACCTCTTTTGGTTAGGTTCATCTCTACCAATTAATGAAAGACAATAAAAAAACCTCTTCTGGTTAAGATTATTTCCCAGTGAAGTCGCCAAACAAAAAACTTCTTCTGGTTAGATTTATCTCTTCCAGTTAAAAACAAGCAAAAAACATCTATTGTTTCAGTATAAATCGACCAAAGATTTATCCTGATACTTCTTCCAATTTCTACCAATAGTCACTATGGATGAAATTTGTAAGCTCATCTCCGAAAAATTCTTTATCACCTCTTCAAATGGCATCTTTAAGCCCATTACCAACACAATCAACTAACACATCATCAAGTGCAAATTTTTGGACACTCTAGTGTTCAATCATCTTCCACCTTCAAGTCACGAATGGTGGACCCGCCAATCTAACTCTTTAGGTTTAAGAAGATTGAACAGGGGCAACTGTTGTACCCCAAAATTTTACCTCCCTTTTCTCAAGATATTTCCCACAAAGATCTTCAATGATTCATGCTTGCACAAGTATTGACTAGGTCAAGCCATCTCCTCAACACAGATGCCTCAAATTAGGGTTTGAGTTTGCACAAGGACAGTTGAACTTCTAATATTTCAAATGACTTTCACAGATAATTATGGACCCTCAAGATTGCTCCTGTCAAGTTTCAAGTCTTGGATCACAAAATTGCTCAGTCGATTGATCAGGTGGTCTAAAATCAGTTGTATTGGATAACAAGTCAACTATGGTCAACCTACAGTCAAACTTTAAGATTTTGGACCAATATCAACATTTTGAAGTCATATGTATCACTTGATCAAGATTGGATCACAATTCTCCAAGAAAATTGGTCAAATCATCAAAAGGGCAAAATGGTCAAAATTAGGGTTTTGACTGAGAATGATCAATCTTTGACTTTTGACCTAGTACATGACTTATTGGTCTGAAACATGATCTCAAGGATTCAAGTACATCATTTTGACCTAATTGCATATTTTAATTCATCTCTCAAGATCAGTGGATTGATAGATGAAATTTGGTCAACTGATAAAAAAAGGTCAATTGTATACTAAAAAGTCAAACTTTGACTTTTTGATCAAATTTGAGTTTCAAAGATCACAGTTCATCAAGACATTCAAAATATAAAATTTGATCATCAAGAAAGTCAAAAGTCATTTTGGAAAGTCAAACTTTGCAAGACTTAAAAATTGCAAGTTATAAATCCTAAGGTTTGTCTTGTTTGAATTTTTCCCTTTGGCTTAATCTTCAAACTTTGCCGATATGATGTCCACAAATATGCCTTGTCTTTGTTACAAGCTGCATAAATCTGTCCACAAAACCATACCTGCATCATGCTACATATCCTGCTGTCCAAAATCTGCATAGTAATGCCAAGAAAACTGTCAAAACCTGCTCCAAAACCTGCAATGCTGCCCTGAAAAATCTGCATCATATCAGTCCCATATTTGCATAAACTCAGTACATAAGAGCTGCATCTAAAAAGCAATGAAATAGTGTACCCAAACAGTTCAAAAACTTATCTATTTCCCTCCCAAATTTCAGTCAATTTCATCTACAAATAAGTTGTTTCACAACACACAAGGGAGAAGGGTTTTTTGAGAGAAAAGAAAAAGAGAAAAAAGAGGACTTGAAAAAATCTAACAAAATTCTTTGTAAACTGTGCTCATCTACTTTCATTCACAATTTAAAATCTTAGAAACTTAGACACACGTCCTAGGATCAATCTAGTCGATCCTGCAAGTTACAAAAGCATTTAGTTTGAAGGACTAGCAGTTGTTTACTAAATTCACGCATAAACACGTCGATGAGACACTTCAATTCCTATGCCAACTTTACAGATAATAAGAATTAGAAGGTGTTTGAGTGTCGAATAATTTGATTGGTTCTCAAACAGAATTGATGCATTAACTTGCTCAGTCTAAATTACACAAGAGAGAAAGCAACAAAATATTTGGTTTAATAGCCAAATATGAATTGGTTAATTGAAAAAAGGGTAAATAAAAACATGATTTTCCATGAAAGAGCTCTCATGACCAATTAATTTGCAAGGTTAAGGGGGTCATTTTCAGATCTGTGCATATTCTCATATGGTAGATGTTATCATTTTCATGATATTATTTAAATTATTAATTAGAAACAAGAACAATATTAATACAATAGGAATAATATCAACTTTTAAAAAGAGTTTATTATTCTTATCTTTGACGGAAAGAACAGGTGTTATTATGATGGAGTAAATTTTTAAAAATTCTTTTTGGACACAAACAATTTAATTTTCTATATAATAAAAAAAAATCAATAAACTGACGATAACCGCTGGAACAATAAAAAACACTTTTAGTGTTTGTTGGAACTTGGAAGTGAGGTTTGAAGCGAAAGCGAAGAGGAGTAGAATTAAAACCTTGGAAGTAAATAAAATCAGATTCGAAACTCAATTTCATTTCCCACGTGTGTGTACTTTCGCGCGTGTGCTTCGTTCCTATCGCCATGACTTCCATCTCCGGATCTCAATCGGGAGGCAAATTGGTCCGACTCCGCCGTACCGCCGCCGCCAGAAACCGTACTCCGTACACCCGACCCGTTCCATCACCGTCTCAGCCTCAGCCTCAAAGCCCTAACTGGCTTTCGCGTTTCGTTATCTCTCCTTCTCGTTTCATTGCTTCCGGTGCCGGGAAGATTCTGTCCTCTGTTTTGGATCTTGAATCTTCACCAGGTTCTTCCTCTTCGGCCACTTCGTCTTCTTCTTCTTCGTATGCTGATACTAACGCTGGTAATTTTTGTAATTCAATTTGTTTATGCTCTTCTTGCAATACTAGGGTTTGTACTGAAATTCTGTATGTTTACTTTACTTGAGTTGTATTGTAGTTTATCTTAGTTTTGGACTTTTGGTAGATCTAATTGTTGAGTTTTCTTGCCGTTAGGATGTTGTGAAGTGCTTAATTGGATTTAAAAGAGACAAATTAGACGAATTTATGACTATGTGTTTTCAATTTTTAATATAACTAACCTACTTGACATGGTTATACTTTCTTTGATTTTTTAAGAGTATATATTAATATCTTTTGGTATCGGATAGAGCTATGTTATTGCCTTCTGAAAAACATGTTGGCCTTTTGATTTTGCAGAGGAAGTTGGTGATCTTGATGATGTAAGTTACAGCCATTTGGAAGATGAAGTTGCATTAAACGAGGTGGGTTGTGTTTGCTTTAGATGAAAAATGCTTGTTTTTCTAATGCTAAGAAGTAGAAACTAGTAATTTTTTATAGTGTTTTTGGTGAGTTTGTTTTGCCATGTTCTTTGCTTAGGATGTTGGACTGTTTTTGCTTTTTTGATATAATGTGCATGTTAATAATCTGGCATAGCACTCACTTGGATATTGCATAAACATGACATAATTCTTCACTTTTCCTTACATGACACCTTGTTGTTCTACTTTAGTAATTTTATAAGATTTCATTTGTTCAATCTATTCCTTCAAAATAGCAGACGAATTTGAATCGTCATTAAATTACAATTTTTAGAAATTTGTTGGCTTCTGAGTTGTGATAGTACTGTAGATATGGTTCCATTCAGTAAGAAGCAATCTTGATCGGTTGTTTCATCATGTCTCTTTGTATCCATGGTTCCATCTATATTTTACATTTGACACTGGTATCTCTGTTGAAAGGGTGGGACATCGGAACCTATTAATTTATCCGGGAAGGAGATCAAGCCATTAGCTGCAAATAGCAAAAGCAAGCATACCATTGAACAGCTACTTATGCAGGAGTCATTCTCAAGGTACTGAAGAATTTATATATTTTAAATTTAACATTGGATCTTTCCTTTTATGTTTCATACTTTTTTGCACCCCTGTCCTATATTTTCGTTGAAAGCTTGCTTGATCTGCCTCTTTTGTAAAAAATGTAACTTCATCAACGCTAGCACTAACCAGCAGTTAGATAAAAATGACAGCATCGTGGTTTTAGGGGCGTCTGATATTCTTTGTAGTGTTGAATTTAAATTAGCATTACTCTTTTATTAGGCTTGAGCTAGCTTTTAAAGTTGAGTTAGGCCTAGGTCAATTCCTAAGATAGTATTAGAGTTTATCCTAATGTTATCTGGTACTGTTATCAATAGTGGATAACTTAAGGCCAAAATTCCGCCATACAAGCATGCCATTGTGGGCTATGACCGCCATGGCAGGCCTTCCTTCACAAACTGCATATGGATTGGTCATTGGCATAAAATTCTCCAAACCATTCCGCTCTGGCCACCATTTAACACCAATGCTATTGTGCCAGTCGTATTTGTTCACACACTCTAGATGACTTGTCTTAGGCGGCAGGGGCTGTGTTTAGATCACTGTTACTGAGCCACCCACAATTTGTCCACGGCCGCACTGCGTATGTGTAGTCATAGCCACAAGGAGGCATTGTTATTAGGCTAGTTGCTACTGTCCTTGCTCCATATGTCCATACATAGGCATGAGAGTCTTTTGAGATCACATATGGACTAGCGATATGGCCAAACTATCTCTTGTAAGGCTTGGGTGATCCTGACCTATTGTGCTTTCTTTTCGGGTTTGGTTGAGTTAGGCCTATCCCAAATTTTAAGAGAAGACTGTCATTGGCTAAGTTTTAAATTTATTGCAAGACTTGACAGCATCTGTTACCTTTAAAAATTTCCTACAACCACATACAACTCTTCTGATTTTAATCACGTACAGCAGCAGATATCATGGTCTATACTGAATTTGCAGACCTTAAGCAATATGTTTTGTGTGAATTATAGGGAATAGAACTGTATTTATTATGTGGTTCACACTGTAGGAGTTTATGGTTGCATGAACTGTTTCCTCTTGTTCTAAATAAGATTCTCAATTAATGCAATATTTGATCAGGGAAGAAGGTGATAGGTTGATTAAAATAATAAGATCAAGAGTTGTGGACTCTCCTTCAAATGACGATGGGGTTACGAGACCAAGGGATATATCCAACACAACTCTTGCAAGTGGTATTCTCTATATTCGAAACACAATTTTAGCTCCGTACTTTTACCTGATCATGGATTTTCAATTTTTCTTCTTCTTCTTGGATATAGGCTCACCCGAACTCTGTAGCGCTGCTGTTATGGAGGCAAAGAAATGGCTGCTGGAAAAGAAGTCTGGAGTAGGTTCAAGTGCTGATTTAGGTTATGGAAGTCATAGTTTGAATTTGATTGCATTACCCCAAGTTAGTCTCTCTCTCTCTCTCTCTCTCTCTCTCTCTCTCTATATATATATATATATATATATATATATATATATATATATATATATATATATATATATATATATATATATAATTGTTTGTTTTTATTTTTATACCTGGCTGTTATGCAGGCTCCTGAAGATGAAGGATCACCGGTTGATGTGGCTAAGTCATATATGCGTGCACGCCCTCCATGGGCATCTCCTTCTGTAGACCATACTAAGCCTTCAACACCGTCCGGAATTCAGCTTTTTAAAGAAGAAACACCACATCTATTTGGTGGCAATTCTACGGCATCCTTGAATAAGGTGTCATTCAATGTGCTATTTATTTGGAATTTGAAATAATATATACATCAGTTTAATTCTTATAACAGACATTTCTGTATGAAGAATAGGTAAACCAGAGATTTTATTATAATTGAAATTCACGAAATTAAATTTTGCAAACAAAATTGTGATAGAGTACAAGGCAAAGAATACAAAGTAGAGAGAACAATGTATAGATCATGGAAAGGATCTTTTTTATTTTAAAAAATGTTGAACACCATTTCCTTTGGTTGACTAGAGAAAATATAGAAACTGAATTTGAAAAATGTTAATAATGTATGTGGGGATATCATGGTTCAGGCATGTTAACTGAGGGAAAGGATAATATTTTAAGGTTTGATTTTACCAGAGTTATTCTGCATTTAGGCCTGCTAAGATTATCTTTTAATTAGGATTAGAGGTCTAGTGTTAAAAAATAAGGAATAGTACTGACTCTTTTTCTATACATCTTTATAAAAAGTTATGTAACCTTTCTCTTCTTTACTTCCTTATCTAAAACCCTACGACTTCAATAATTCTTATTGCCAAAATCTTCTAGCAAGGTACAAATGAGGTTTTAAAGCTACGCATAGAATGATACAATTTACAGATCAAATGGTATTGAAAACAAAAAGAATATTTCTATTGATCTCAGTAACTTCTCTTGTCCAATGTGAGCTTTAAGAAGACAACAGTACACTAGGGAAGTTTGAGTGACTCTATCTATCCCAGCTAATACCTTTTTCGCCATCCACTCTAATGTTTTATATACTCCTATTATACCTTTTATTGCTCTATCCCCCCCTTTACTTACTATTGTTTGTTAGTATGTTATTCTGTTACAATTACAACTCCCCATTCATTACCCCCCTCTCTTCCCAAGTGCACTTTCTCTAATATAATGCCTATCAAAGAAATTTTGGAAAGTATTGTCTATGCTTCAACTTTAGAAAACAACATAGCTCGGTTGTAAAAAATAAATTACACGATGTCTTAGTAGAACTTTGAATGCTCTGAAATATCATTTGTCAAGAAAGTTACATGCACTGCACCTATCAGTCGTACCTCGGTTGTCATTAGAGGTGATTGAGTTACATTTTTCAATTTTTATTATTAGTTTTTTCATATTTGCTGATACTCAAATGCAGTATAAAAGGGATTCTTCTGCTACCGGGTCATGGAGTATTCAGGATGAGATAAGAAGAGTTAGATCCAGGGCAACAGAGGAGATGCTTAGGACACTTCCTTCCTCAAAAATTGATTGGTCTGCATATGCTGTAGAGAATAAAAGTAATGTCAACTCATCTGCAATTGAAAATATTGGAACTAGTTTGGGAGATAAAGTACATACTTTTACAAACTTAGTAGATACATCTGCAGACTTAACCAGGGGATTGGGTTCTAATACCTCTCCAGGTATGATCCTGCTACTGTAGGAATCTTTTTGGTTTATTCTGATAGTCAAACTTTTTAATATAAGGACCTATTTATTTATTTATTTATTCTTATTACCTATATAACCTCTTGAATGTTTCACGCTCACTTTTTTTTTTCTTGCCTATTTATTCTAACAACACAATCTATTGGATGTTTAACTTTTTTTCTTCCGTGTATGCCTTTCAGATTTGCAGAGTAAACTGGATAGGCGCCAACCTGAGTCTGTGTTGCCTGATCCATCTAATATTATCCTCGAACAGAATCAGGTGCTCATATGAACTGTAGTTTATATAACAAGCACATCTTTAGGTTCCCCTCTCCCTCTCCTTATAATACATCCAGGCTTGTTTAAGATTAACCTATTTTGTGTCTAACATGTTTTTATCCCATTTGTTTAGGGATATGTAGCTGTTCAGAAAACCAAAGGTACCATTTTTCTAATTGACACTATTAATCGCTCATAACTGCGCTGAAACACCCTCCACAAAGAAAGTTTTAGGCCTGATATTGGCTTCAAGTATTAAAGATGTTTAATTTGTTTGTCAAATATACTTTAGAAGCAAAACCATTTTGTTAATTACCACTGCTTAGCTTGTGTAGTACTCAGAACAACTATAATTGGACAATTTGACCGCGACACTGTTGGTTATTATTTAAATTAAAAGCATTTAACTACTTGTATGGATAAATCTGTTGTTCTTTCTGCTGGCACAATCTGACTAGCAGATAGAATGCTTGTTTATTCACATCAGATTAATTCCCTTGTCTTAGTAAAAGTCTTACTTGGCTTATAATTAATCATGTTACATAGGTACCCAAGATGACTGCACAGAATTAACTACAGTACTAAGAGACGGACACAGGTCAGTTTCTCAAAAAAAAAATCATTGATATTTTCTTGTTTAACTAATGGAGCAAAATTACTGTACATTTGAGGTTCTTTATCTCCTATAATATTATAATTTAACTCATTAATCACATTTTTGACAATTTCTTTAGGTTGACGAGAATGTTTTTTAGTTTCCCTACACCACACACCTTTTGTTCGTTGCCACTCTGTTTGAATCCTATCACTACCCTGACAAATTCCCCCCCCCCCCCCCCCCCAAAGCTCCCCGTATTATATTATTGTCATGTCATTAATCATGTTTTTGACAATTTCTTTAGGTTAATGACAAATTTTTAGTTTCCCTTCACAAACCTTTCATTTGGTGCTACTCTGTTTGAAACTTATCACTACCCTGACAACTCCACCCCAAAGCTTCCTTTATTTTATTGTCATGTCATTTTTGTTTGGTTCACTAACTGAAAAATTCGCTAGACTAAATGACTGATACAAATTACAGTAACTTAACTACATTATGATGAGTTTAATTCTATGTCTGTGTATGGTACCAAGAGTCCCATGTACAAAGGTCTGATCAGGCTTTTGTGTGGGATATCTGGCCCTGTTTGGTTATATTATTTGTCTACTAATTTTAGCATTTTCTTTAATGTAATAGGGATGTTAATGGCATCAATGACACAGATGAGTCTAAGCATCAATCAGACCCAGTTGAAGAAACTAAGGAAGGTAGGGTTTTTATTTCCTTTGGCCCCCTATGGTTTAGAGAATGCACCCAGCTGATGTTATGAGTTACTTGCAATTTATGTAGTCGTGATTGTTGCTATTGTGAATTAGTGACAAGTGCTTATTCTGGCACTGTGGACCTCTGTATGCTAAGTATTTTGTTTCATGACCCAGTAAATTAGTGGTATAAATTCAAATACTAGTAAAACTGAAGGTAAACTAAAATCATGCTGTCTATGCAGCTTTGGTAATGGTTCTAGCTGAATACCTAGTAATAAAAAGAACCCTTACACTTCCATGAACTTTTGCACTGTTTAGTGTTTAGTGTGGCACTATGGACCACTGCATGCTAAGTGTTTTGTTTCATGACCCAGTAAATCAGCGGTATCATCTCAGGTAATAGTAATACTGTAGCTAAACTAAAATCATGCTGTCTATGCAGCTTTTGTATTGCTTCTAGCTGAATATCTAGTGAAAAGAACCTTTAAACTTTCATGAACTTTAGCACTGCCTGACCATTGGAAGGCTCTGACATTGCCCACTGTTTTTAGATTCACCGGAGGGTTAGTCCTGCATTCAGGTGAAAAGCAAGTTCACTCAATGTTTTCTAATACACAATATATGCAAGGGAGCTTCAGCTTTTTTAATTTCTATAGTTTGAGAGTTCAGGATTTATGTTTGGTCAAACAGAAAAGTCTCCTAATGGTGTCAACTATTGGCCGGTCCTACAGCAGGCCTTTCATGCATAGTACTTTAGCTAGTACACAGTCCTCACATTTTAGGGTGAATATGATTGAATCTAATATATATTTCATGGTTAAACATGTTATGTATTTTCATAAGCAAGTGGTTGTGTATATCAGGTTAATTATGTAGCCAGATTTGGTATATCCCCCGTCATTAGGTTTTGTTAATTTCTGTTTCTGTGCCTCAGATTAAATACTTTATTCAATATTTTCAAATATTAGTTTGCTTCTTAGATGATCTTTTCTACGAGTGCAGTTTCTAAATCTAGATTACAAGATGGAAATCTCTCAGAATTAAAAGAGAAGGTTGAAGCAGAAGATGCATTAGCAAATGGATTCCCCTCTTTAGGTCCCAGGTAATTATGGTTCTCATGATTTTCTTGATTAGTGTTTTTTGGTCAATCTTTCTGTACGTAAAACCTTTTCATTTTAGGGAATGTTGGCAACATGTTTTTTATTATTGTGTGAAAATAATGTGTGGATTCGACCAAATAAGAAATGGCTGTGACCATATAAGGGATTAGTAAGTGGGAGCCACAGTAACTGTTAAGATCCATGTGAATTTTACATGTAATAAAAAGCTTGTCGCTAACCTTTTTTGAAATAAGGTTAGTTTTAGTTAACCAATGGAATGTAAAATTGTGGTATAAGTATTTTTTGTTGCTTTTATCATAGTACTTGGTCTCATTACCTATAGACCGAATCTCTTTAGGAAGTTTTACTTCAATTTCAAAATTTGGAACCCACAGCTTTTTCTTGGCTTGAAATGTCAGTGGGAAAATCTCCCTGTCTTATCCTATCTATCAAAATAGTTAAATAGTTCTGCCATTTTTCTGTTTGCTAGTAGTGTCTATGCAAGGACGGTCACTGAACAGAACTCAAAAAAATCAAATAATGAACCAAGTACTGTTGATTCAAGTCAGGAGAGGATAGCTCAGGGTGTTCTTGAGCAAGAGACTTGTAAAATGTTGCGCGGATCTACTGAGGTGCCTGAGGTGAGTGTAGACGGTACTGTTGCTTCCAAAGATGATGGTGTTGCCACCGGTTCGCAGTCGCAGAACAGCTCCAGTGTACAGTATGAGGCTCAACAGAACATTTCTCAGCCAGCTTCAGAATCAGGTTTGGTAGCCACACCAACTAGTATTGCTAAACAAAAGGGTAAAAGATTGACCAGATACAACAGAAGGGGTAGCAAAGGTGTCAAATGATACCATTTGTATTTTGTATGTTAAATTGTAAGTTACCGTTAGCTTGAGAATAGGGATTATGCAGGCCATTTGTCGAGGTTAATAATGTTCACAAATGAGTCTACATCAACTTAGGCAGTATTTTAGTTCAGTTGCTTCTTGTTCTTTGTTTGGTGACTACGTCAACGAAATCAAGCTTGGGAAATTGAATGTATTTTCTGTAAAAATGGTTTAATTAGAGACATGTAAGTTTTTCTTTTCCTGTTTAACTAATTGACATGGATCTGCATGCACAAGCATGTGCGACCTGAATGATAAAACTGGCCCTTGAGACAGTCAGGCTCCATGAGGCTCCTCTATCACAAGCCAACAAAGATGCAGGCGTGGGCGGTTAGAACATGCACCTTCACCAGGCAACAGAAGGTATAGATGATAATATAATGTAAGAGGATGCTTGTTTGTGTGTGTGATGATAATAATGTGTAACGGTGTTTGTATTTGTGTATTATGGGGAATGATTGCTTGATTTATTTGTATTATTATTATTTTCAAGATTTATTTTATCATTCAATCAGATTTGTCCAAAGGGTTGTCTAAATAATTGGAATCCCCTCCCGGTGTAGAGAGGTTTACTTGTGTTGAATTTTTTTATCGTTTAAAATTTTCTTTCTTTTGGCCAATAAAATGGAAAACACTTTTTACTGTTGGCAAAATTACCCCATCGATTTCAGGAAATGATCATCACATCAGGAAACATTGGTCCCCTGACCACCACTGCTGACGATCATAACATTCACATGTCATCTCTCTTGTAGCTCGAAAACATCTCGCCTCCAACAGTTTCTTTACCCAACAGAGAAGCTCTACCACTCTGTTCAAACCCACATGGAGACGACAACATGTGGCCATCAGCAGTCTTGTCGTCCCCTTAGGCCAATGAGGGGAACAAATATATTGTTAATGGACTTATTAGTGTTGGTGGTTGAGTGCATAAACTTTGTAATGCCTTAAAGAATTTGTGTCAACAAAAATTACAAGAAAATGGGTATAATTTTTGTTGGGGGAATATGAACTCAAATGATCTGCAAAAGGGGTTGAATAGACTGTTCCAAATAGGGACTAATTAAAAAACTTTTTTTGAAATCATAATTTAATGAAGTCGCTTGGCATAGCAAATTTTTTGTATAATATATATGTTATTTGAATGATTGTCGTATATAATTAAACCAGAAAAAAATGAAAGAAAGATTAAGAGACTAAATCAATCAACCCTTCAATTATTCTATTTTCGTTTTACACGAGGTTTGTAAATCAAATCTATTCAATTGATTAAAAAAATCTATTATTTTAGTTTTCTGGTTTAATCAAAAGGATGATCATAATCTTGATCTAACACATACCGAATTTGTATACATGAAATCGCTATAAATGCGGTAAAACCTAACAACATATGATTCTAAATGAAATATAAAAGAGATGAGGAAAAAGATAAAGTACGTCAGATTTATCGTGGTTCGGCACGTTCGTCCTTGCTTTGTGCCTACTCAACTCTCAAATGATTTTCCATTGAAAATTTGTAATCTTTCACTATTGAAATTCAGGTATCAAATATGTGATGTCGAAAGAGATGTCACGACACAAACATTTGAGAACAATATAAAATACAACAATATTAAAAGCAGCAAAATCACAAAGGATTGTTAATTCAGTCCGGTGTACAACAAGACTTACTCTGAGAGTTACCAAACGAGGGACAAGTCTACTAAATAATATCAATTCATAGACCCTCAGTAAACAATCAGTTAACGATCTAATCACTTAATCATTACTCGTGCTATATTTCTACCTAAGACACACCTAGGTATGAGGCCCTCCTCAAATCCCTTCAATCACTAACAGTGAAAAACAACAGAATTATTAAGTGAAAAACTTCAATCATTCAATACTTAAAAGCTTATGAATGATCCATAATTCACAACTCAAATTACAACTTAAGTATTGAAATAATACTAGAGTGTATTACAATTAAAAGACTCAGACTTCTAAAACACATAGAGTATATTTTTCTTCAAGTGTTGCAGTAGTACGAATAAGGATGTAAGTCCTTATAAAGGCACAACAACTTTTTTATGGGCTTGGACTGAAAAACCAATATTGCAAAATATTGAATCCCTTAAAAATCTCTATAAAAGTAGGCCAAGATATAAACCATAAAGATGAGACAGATAGAAAAACATTCCTTCATATTTTTCGTAAGTTTAACCCACAAATCATGAATAAGGCGCGCTTAAAAATAGGAAATAGAAAATCTAAAAACACGTTCAGATCAACAGACAAATGTTAAGACATCTGCTTTAACATCATTCAAAAATAATTGAGATGTTTTATTTTAAATGTCAAGACATTAAGCAAAACATTACCAAAGCAGTGTTTTACCAAAATTGCTGCCAACAAACACTTACAAACTCCCCCTTGACAAATTTTGGCTAAAACATTATTTAAGCACATTATCAGAGCAGCAGCAAAAAAATTAGTTAGCAGTTAACAGTGGCAGTTAGCAGTGGAAGATGTCAGGACATCTTCTGAGACATGAAGCTCCCCCTCAAACAATGAAGCCCCCCCTTAAACTTAGCAGTCAGTCAGTCAATTTCTCTCCCCCTTTTTAGACATAATATGCCAAATAAACACGCATTCAAGAGAGTAATGGTAAAAGAAGTACATACCAGAATATCCAAGTATCAAACACATACAAGTGCCAAAAATAACATAGGGATACAAAAGAACAAAAAAAGAAGGCACCAGCACAGAGTCTAACTATCTTCAGGACCAGTAGACTTGGTAGTTTCAGAACTTCCTTCATTATCATAATCTCCTTCTTCAGTACCCACACTGTTATCCTTCTGCAGATCCTTGACCAACTTTTCAAATTTTAGCTTCCTTGCTGAGCTAACTCTGATTACTTCATCAAGTTCTTTGCAGGCTTCCATCAATTCAGTAATCATATCATCCTTGCATGATGTCTTGTTTTCAGAGGATGCAGATGTCAAAACAATGCCTGGGATATGTTTACCTGAAAATAACTCGAAATGAAGGGACAAGGCAGACTCCCTTTTGCAAACTGCATCAATTCCACACAGAATTCCAGGGTGTTGATTTTGAATAACTCCACAAATGAGAGATGGAAAGGCAATAGGCATCTTGATAGCACAAGTTCAAGCATGCTTTACATTCTGTTCAAAAATGTAAGTAACATAATCAAATAATTTCTTATTTCCAACAACATAGATAAATTTTCCTAAGTAAACTGTAATAGTTGAAGTATGATTGGTAGGGACCCAGTTAGCAGCTCCAATTCTATACAGGACAACATATTTCACACTTAACTTACTAACAAGGAACTTATTCTTCATAGGCCAATCACTCACTTGGTTTGTAGTGATGGCTTTGCACACTTGATTATCAATCACTTCCAACTCACAATAATCATCTTCAGACCTGCCCAGATATCTATTGATGACAGTAGGGGAAAATTATCCATATCTACCTCTAACAAACACCTTCCTATATTCCTTACTTCTGTGATCAACACAATTTATAGGAATATTAATAATAAATTCCTTAACAAGAGTCTCATAAAATTTTGCAAACCTGGTGACAGTCTTCATCAAGCCAACCAAAAAAATCAACTCCATAATCTCTTTGCACTCTAGTGCATCTGCTCTTAACTCTCTTTCACGAGAAATCCTTCTTTGGAAGACATATTTCCATTTTTCAGCATTGCCAACAGAATGGAAAGAGATGTTGTCAAGAGGAGCATCAGGCACCCTGATAGAAAGCTTCTTGCTTGCAGACTTCTTCACAGGAGAGATGTCCTGGACATTATCCTCCTCATCATCTGAGGAGCTATCAGGTCTAATTTTTCTTTGGTTGGAGGGAGGGACCACTTTACTCTAGAGCTTAAGGGGACCATACATAGTATTCTTCTTGATACTCTTGATAGGGGGTGTGATATCCATAGCCTTCACCTTTCTAGACTTGAGCCTTTTAGAAATTCTAGACACCACATTAATAATAAGGTCATTGTCAGACAGCTCATCAATATTCACCGCATTATCAGCATTTGAATTCTTTGTAGTTTTGGAGCCAACAACATCTTCCTTAGCAGAAGAGTCTGTAACACGGTGGGAGAATTGACTTGGTTGTTTTGCGTTTGATCGCAAATGTTGCGGTTAGCAAGAGTCGCCACCGACGTTTCTTTTATCCAAAAGAAAAGGCTGAAAAGAACAGGAAAGACCTTTAGAGATGTTTTCTTGAGTTCGGGGGGTAGATTATGAAAAGGGAAGGTATTAGCACCCTTTTCATCCGTAGTTATCTACGGGCTCTTAGTTGCTTTCTAGATCACTTGCTTTTGTTTGAAAATGTGTTTTATGTGGTTTCTTTGAAATTATTTTGAAAATGTTGTTTTTGTAATGGTTCTCGTTTCTATAAGAACACGTACAAAGTTTGGTTTCGAAAATAGTTCAAAGAGGTGTTTATGGGATGTATTTTTTGAAAGTGATTTTAAAAAAGGGTGTCTTTGTAATGACTCTCGTTTCTATAAGAACGCGTACAAAGTGTTTATCTTTTGAAAATGTTTCAAGTTTGTAAGATGTATTGAAAGTGTTGGTGTTTGTTTTGAAAATAACAAGGATATTTTGGTTTGAAAATGAGCAAGCAACTAGGAACATTCTACATACTAGAAAGTCTTTCTTGTTTATTTCCTCTTTCCTTTGACATTGTTATCTTACCATTGATTTGGTAAGAAACGTTATCTTTGGATGTAAAAGGGACGGACAATGATCATCGTATAATAATGAATAACAATGTTTGTAAGATATCTTAGCATTTTCTTTGAGGGACTAAGATCATTTGTAAGGCAACATTTGTAGCGTCATCGAGGGACTATGATCTTGTATTTTTGCTTGTTTTCGCTAAGACATCTTACATGCGTATTATGATCATTCATTTCTCAAGACAACAAG